GACAAATCAGTATTGCTCTAAAAGCATTATATGTTTAAAAAATCAAATTCGATTTCTGTTCGTCCACATTACTATGCACTAGTATATGAACAAAACAAAATTAATGTATTTCGTAGAAAATTTTAAACAGGATACGAGTATTGAAAATGAAAATATTTTGCCGGGACATTGTTAAAGGCCAACCAGCTTATTTGTTCCCATTTGTTCCTACCTGCTGTGACGGTACAATCCTCGATGGATGTGGAACTACCGTATCGTGTTGTCGTTCCTTGGGGACACGCTCTGCAGAATGAGAATCCGGGAGCCCCCCTGATATGTTCCTCTGACACAGGGAACACATGTGTGTCGAGCACCACTATAGGATGTACCAGTCGGACATTCACCTGCAGTAGAAACCATCATTTAAAGGATGCTGCATTCAACTCGTACTCAAACGTTGCTAAATCATGGTTACAACCCTCAAGACTTTAGTTAAACTTTGAGTTGTCTACGGTAGGTGCATTCTCTTCCTACAGAGGTTACTTATCATATCTTCCTACGAACCTCTGTTCTAATACGGCCATATTTCCCGGTTCTCGTAAAATCCGCTAGCGGCAAAAAATCGCAACACGAATTACCTCCCTTCTTTCTATCCAATCAGAACACCTGTTACATCGATGCAAGTAAAAATGGGGCCATAAATATCCCTCTTCTCTGCCGGGGACTTGTGTTGATGTAACACACAAGACATTTAATGGCAAGCTTGTCCGTTGTCAACGAGGGCGATGGTGACGCCATTGATCCGCCATTACATGACTAGTTCTGCCTAGAAGAAACGTTAGCGTATCGCGCAGGGGAAGATGTTCCAGTTTTCCCGAAGCATACGGAAATTACCGAGGCCTTGATCACATTTGCAAAGACATCGCTGATTGCACAACTAAATCTAATTGCAACCAATCACGAATCCTGAACACTCGCACCATGAAAGGGCCGTATTAGAACAGAGGTTCGTAGGAAGATATGACAAGTAACTTCTGTGGGACGAGAATGCGGTAGGTGGGGCGGTATGGTAACCTAGTGGTTAAAGCGTTCGTGCGGAACGCCGAAGACCTGTGTTAGGCACATGGGTACAATGTGTGAATCCAGATTTCTGGTGTTCCCCCCGCCGTGATATTGCTGGAATATTGCTAAAAGTGGTGTAAAACTAAACTCACTCACTCTGTGATAGGTATTTGAGTATCTTGTACTATCTCAGCCGTGTTTTTTTGTTCATTTTAACAACTGATTTGCCTTTTACATGTAGCTAGTGTTTGATAAACACGCGTTCATATAACTGCCTCCGCTTTAGTACAGATCCATTTTGATCACAAAATTGTTTTTGTTGCTTTTGTTTACTTTATGCAGTCACTCTGACCGAATGCGTTTACTGTTGATAATTCATTTATTGTCAAAACGATCACTCTTGATAAACAGGTTCAGCTTATTCTAGGGGAAAAGCCCAGAGAGATGCTGGTCCGATGCTAATGACTTTGGAGAACCCCCCGCGAGCGACACAGTACTGACAAACGTACAAAACCAACCAGGCCGAACCGGTATTATAAACCACAGTCATAGACGTGCTCAGGGGACACAACTCTGCACTGCACATTGTACCGGTTCATGGGACAGCTATATTATGATGAGTTATCTCCCTTCAATCAGTTGCGGTTTCCACAACATTGAATCAGAATCACATGCTCCCTGAGAGAGTGTGTAAACATCTGAAGAGATAGAGACATGTGACAGCTGTGATTGGATGAAACAGTGTACGATTTTTATGTTTTATAAAAGCACATCCATCCAGTAATTAAAACGGACCACAATTTCAAGTATTTAGTGTCATTTGTATCACCAGACTTATGCTTATTGTGTGTACAGATATTTTCCTGTAGGTGACATTTGGTGCGGAACTGGGGTTGATGTGTTCAGCTTCCTGTGCTCCGAAAAATGGCAGGATAAGTGACCCGGAATTTTTACACAAGCAAAACAAATTGGCAAAAAACATACCACACAACCCATCTTCAAGAAAAGTCCCTGTAGGGCAGATGACATCAGCTGTGACGTTGATGGGATATAACGGCGTGTACGTCGCGCCATTTGACGTCACGGTCCAGACAGTTGTAGTTGTATTCTGTAACTGACGTGCTGTTTGTTCTAGTGTCTCCACAGCATCAACAACAGCTACAAGACCCGGAGAGACTGGAGAAAGCATGATAAAATAACATGATAAAATAACAAATTAGCATGATAAAATAGCTGATATATTTTGACATAACAATACAAATTTGGTGAGGGTGTGATTTCGAATCCTGGATGGGACTCAACTAAAAACTACAAGAGCTTGTGTAATCCGAGACATAACGCAACATACTGACATAGTTCTCCAAAAGCTTAAAACTATGAGGTTCTTGAGAGGGATAATTTTATAGAAGTTGGTATTCAAGTATAAGACAAAATATTATGGATGTTATTGTATACACAACGTTTCGGAGTTTATCCTTACTCCTTTATCTGATGAAAAAGGGTTAGACTGATTGCTCGTTGGGTGGAACACCTGTTTCAGTTCCCGATCACGTGATCATGAACCATGTGATGTCGTGATGATACACTCCGTTCCATCTGTGGAGAGTACGGTACATCGCCATTTTTTTGGCAAAGTCCGACCAAATTTATGAATCGATCCTGAGCCTATATCGTGACAAGACGAGGCTTTACCCATTTCGCTACCCTTCAAACGCGCCGTCAACACAGTGTTCCAACTTGCAATCCAATGTGCAAAATATATTCAGTTGTGGTTGAACCGATAGACACAGTACTTACGCGTTTTATTGTGAACATAGGATCCTAGGTCAAGGTCGGCGTTTGCGAGGTTGACGGTGAAGTGGGAGTAAGTCGTTGTAAAGCTCTCGGGGCCACATGCAGGAACGGTAACTCTGATCGAACAGGCTGATTTGCGTCCACACGTAATTCTCTCGAGGTTCTGGGTCAAGGACGTCTTAAGGTCGTTTGACTGTGACTGTGTGAGGCATGTTCTGCCAGGGTAATTAACTTCCGCCATCAATGACATTGATGTAGGGGAGACAACTCCTGAAAGCAGGTTGCGCATTGCTTTATTTCAATTTTTATCAAAACACCAACTGCGAAAACGGCATTTTCTCTTGAACCTTTGTATAACTGCAATTGTGTATCGAAATTTAAACAAACAAAACTAAACTTTGTTTCAGGGGTATATAACACACTAAAGTACGTTTTCATGCGTACCACATATATTAGTTTATAGATTATATTCTTACGTTATTGTTAACTATAATATGCAGTTAGCAGTCACGTTTTGGGGAAGCAAGTGGTAGGTTCATAAACAGGGTGGCGTCTAAACTTACACGTTTATAATGATGGTAAAATGAAATATGGTACGGTATTGCGATGTCTGGTATTTCTTTGTGAACAAATGTACTTTTATGCCACAATAAATAATACTTAACCTATACCACGGACAAAATTGAGGGTGGGCCAGGCAAACTAATTACAGAAATCATCAGCAACGAGCCACACTATCGGAGTACAAAGACCTCACCCAGGTCATGTCTTCTCTGCACCCAATCCTTAGCTTTAAACACCTTTCTATGATGAAACCCCGTCAATCCGGACAGAAGCGAAGTCACCCGAATTACGAAGTCACTGATGTTATTAATCACGTGTAAATGGCAAAGCAGTTGTAACCGCATACACCTAGTATTAACAGTGATTGTCTGGATTGTGGGGTTTCCTTTTTAACGGTGCCCTGAGTTTTCTGTATCTGCTTACTGATGCAAGACGGCAGTTTGGTAGATGGAGTCCAATATCCTCCCCTACAAGTGTACACTGTAATCTGATGCCTTGAAGTAAAGAATCCTTCCCGGCAGACAGGCCTACAGTCGATGGCACCACCAGTACTGTTACACTCTGGACCACTGCCGATATGGCCATATCCCAACTGTAGCTGTGACGAACTACAGACTGAAACAAAAGTATTTTCCCATAGAAACAATACAATAAAACATACGTTTGAGAATAAAGTACAAGTCTGCGTATTAATTCAGTTCAGGACCAATTCTTACCCAGATCTTCACTCTTGGATGAATGTAGATGATTGCAAATTGAATTCAGACGCAAGTACTATTCAATACTGATAATGTAATAATACAGTACTGATTACAGTTTGAAATGATGGAATGTGTGGTTTATGGATGTTGCAAAACTTACGACAAGCAAGGGTTGCTGAAGACTAATTCTTCACGTGTTCCAGGTTAGTAACTCATTAGAGAGACAATTAACTCACGAAGTTTAGTGAGCTGTCTATGCTGTCATGGGGCAGACCCTCGAATAAAGGGTTAACTAAACCGCCCTCCGAAGAAGGTATAGGTTCCGAGCTGGGAACCTTTAGGAAATAACATATTTCGATGATCTGAGATTATTTGCAATTTGGAAACTTTTTCAATTCGGAAACGGTTGTAATTATATGATCCCTTCCTAACGTTTCGAATTTGTAAAATTTAATCGTATTAGTTTCACGGTGTTTTCTCTGGTGATGTAGATGTCGACACTAACCAACGCAAGTCAACTGAAATATACAGAACCTTATCATAAATGTAATATATTGGAATTACTTGATGATATCCAGGACATCATCTCTCGAAAATTGACGTTAGAGAAGATCAACAGTTGAGAATAAGCAGTCTTGCCGTTTAGGGCAAAACAATGGTGAGAAACATCCGAGTCTCGACCAAACAATCCAGTGATGGACAGAATGTAACGTGTTCCAGACCCAAACATGGAACACTCGGGCTAAACCTGCCCCACGTCTTTATAAGTCAAAATATGTGAATCGAACCATTATAATCGAATTCTGCCGAGAAGGATGCAACTCGCTACAGAAAGTATGACACATTGTATCCATGTGGGACATCCAACCTGGGTCTTTGGCGTCTTTGGACTCCTTCAACACTGGGCTGCCCCATCGCCCGAAAACAAATACTGGACCATGGTAGCTGAAGAAAAGAACTTTGCACAGCTTACCTGGGCACCAGAAGCTACCCACCACCCCACGTATGTATAAGTGACTTCAATCAATCAATCTTTATTTACAGTACTGAAAAGGCAGTAAGTACATTTTTACATACAGATCAGAGGGTGCAATAGAAATAGATAAATCGTTAATAATATCACATCTGTAATACAGAGGATCTGGTATTCATTGCATGGTATACTAGTATATACATTGCAAGGTATTTTGTGACTGTTTGATTTTGGGATGACATGAGGGTATAGAATTTGTCTTTTCGGGGGTTTAAATAGAAATATTTGCCACTTATAATCTCATTGTAAATGTTCTTACCTGGACAGTCCAGCGTGTTGCAGGTGAGTGTCTCTGTGGCTGGTCCAGGACAATCCTTCCCTTCAGTGCCCGGAGGTGGACTGTCACATGACCTTGACCTTGTCCTCCGACCTTCCCCACATGCCACGGAACATGCTGACCAATCCCTCCACGCTGACCAACCACCATTAACTAAAAACATCATGATTCATAACCTGGATTGTGAAACAATTATGCCACCGAGATAAAATTCTGTGGACAACAATAAACTGGAATGGATGTATTATATTTCAATGACAGCGTATCCAGTTTGAAACAGTCCGGTCATATCAGCTTACTCAATGACGCGCATCTTGTATCTAGCAAAGTCACTGTTCGCTTGCCCTCTACACACCATTGTCTACCCGTGAAGATCAGGGTTAGAATTGCCTTCAGCAACCCATGCTATTCGTAAGAGCCGACTAACGGGATCGGGTGGTGAAGCTCGCTGACGTGGTTGACACATGTCATCGTATCCCAATTGCGTAGATCGAAACTCATGCTGTTGATCACTGGATTGTCTGGTTCCGAGTCGATTATTTACAGACCAGAATATTGCTGAGTGCGGCGTAAAACAACAACCACACCATTGTCGACTTCTACCACTTCCGTCGGAGTCTACGATTATACTTACCGGTTCGTTGTTGGCATAGAAGTCCGTGGAAACCTTCCGTGCATTCACATGTGTAGTTGGAACCACCAGATTTGCACACCGCCATGTTCTGGCACTGATGGTGTGCGCAGAGGTCTTTCAGTGGCGGCGAGGAGCAGTTACGTCCAGTGTAGCCGCTCTTGCACCGACACTCATAGGACGTGGGGGTGTCCACACATGGATGCCCATTACACGGGGACGCCAGGCACTCATCCACAGCTGATGACAGAAGCATGGCGCTCTTTAGAACTGATTATTGAATATCAGAGGGGTTGGGTTTTGTCATGATAATTAAAATAATGCACAAAACATTTCCATAACCAGAGAAATCTCTGAAAGCAGAACCACTGATGCTTCCGACGACATTCATAGGTCAAGGTTTTCGCGAAAAGGAGAGTTTAACACGACCCACAAACACAAGGCAAATCGATTATTTCATCTGGATATTGAAAAAACTTTATGGATAACAACTTCACGAAGGAATTCCTGCCTGGCAACGGTACAAAACTCACACTCACGAAACAAAAGTTATTATCCATAAAGGTTGTTCAATATTGTATGTCCCAAATCCTACAATACCACTAAAAGCAGAAAAAGTTGGAAGTGTACATAGGGAGAAGCATCGGATACTGTATATGCAGTGGTTTTGTGACGAGGAAATGCCATTTTGAAACACAACGACATCATACTCGCGATGGCATCAGCTGTCTTTGTTTGCAGAATTAATGTCTGTCAAACGTATTGCCGAACTCAATATATATACTGAGTGGCCAAAGATCATTTTATCATTTGAGGCTGATAAATTAAAGTTTACGTTTACGTTTTTCGGCTTCAAATTTCAAATTGGCGGGGACACCAGAAATGGGCTTCGCACATTGTACCCATGTGGGGAATCGAACCCGGGTCTTCAGCATGACGAGCGAACGCCTTAACCACTAGGCTACCCCATCGCCCCTTAAATTAGATGAAACTCCTAATACGGTACATAGAAAAGTTCCTCATTGTTCACATGATCCAATGAAAAGACATAATCATACTGCCTTGTGCTGCCACCTGGTGACTCGACAGTCACTGTTGAAATGGACCAGAGTATGGAGTGGCCAAAGAGGGACGAATGTGTATAATAATAAAGAATGATCATTATAAGACAAAACATTATTACCATTGCAGGAGCTTGATGCCATCATAGTGATTGTTCCAGAACCTTCTGTACGCATATGATCCAGGGAAAGGACGCTGTCGTCACCCACCATTGTGCCGCAGGTGGACGCCAATTGGAGGATCTCTGAGGACGTCTTGCTGGTGTTATACAGAGAAACACTTCTTACAGTTATGGCTGGAACAGATAGAGACGATCAGAGCACCTGGTACAAAGTGATCGCAGCGTTACAGCTTTTAATTATAATACCATGTAAAAGAATGGCAGCTATGAATCTCTTACTGCCTAAATGGCAACTGGACCCTGTGTCGGTAACCGTCAATCCCTTGATTTGTTTTCATGTAAAATATTCAAGCAAAGACTTCCTTAACTATACTTTCTTACATGGACAACCAATAACAAAAAGCGGCGTAAAAATCTTACTCTTTCATTCATTCACTCTATATATAGGAGTCGTCCGCTTCTTTACTGGACTGACTCACAGAGTTTGTGGTTTTACGCCGCTTTTAGCAATACTCCAGCAACATCACGGCAGGGGACACCAGAAATGGGCCTTCTTTACTGAAGGTGTTTTGTGACCTATATGACGGTTAAATATTTTGAAACAGCATAAGTATGTTGCTCTTAGCAAAATCGTCAATTGGAAGTGTATATTGCCTCGATTGTTGAGTTTGTCAGCTGATGGATACGTGCTAAAAGGATTTAAGATTGGCCCGGACAGTATACATGAGTGTAGGATTCCACAGGCAAAATAATGTAAAACATGTGTAAATACAATACTGTTTGTATCTACTGCTAAACTGCTGTGTTTAGGGGTTATTCTCGGAATATCATATGCATGTCTGTTTACGCCGTACTCAAAATTACAGCTATTCGGAGGCGGTCTGTAAATAATCTAGTCTGGATCGGATAAGCCAGTGATCAACATCATGATGATGATCATCATCATGTGTCAACCAAGTCAACGTCATTGATAACCAGATCCCGTTAGTGGCCTCATACGACAAGCATGGGCTGCTGAAGACCAATCTAACCCGGATCTTCACGGGTCTCAAGTTTGTGACCGAGTGACCTCCCAGTATGCCATGCCTGGCTGAGCCACGAATAAAAATGTCTGTTTTATTACGACATGTGACAAAAAAACAGCCACATATTCGGCTAAGTGTTTTGTGCGCTCTGACTCGTGGGAAGACATAGCCGTTTTCTTGTCAGATACGTATAGCATTTGCTATCACTTAAGATATAATACATCATCATCTTACCATCACCACTGCCAACACTGACAGACAGCGTCGAGGATGATGCTGTTATATATGCTGGTGAAGAGGACACTCTCTTGCCATCTTTGTACAGTGTCAGAGCGAAGGTGTTGTACGTCACGTCAAACCGAGTCCATCTGTTGTGATCTGTCGCTGCGGTGATCATGTCGGCCCTGTGGTATGTGAACAAGTGCGTGTTTACATGAGTTTACATGAGTACGAAAGCCCAATGTTGCCACCTTTTTAACATATTTTAAATTACAGCTAAATTTCCCCTTGGTTCGTTTATCTACTCATTCTTTCAATTATTTTCAAGTTACCTTGATGATCTTAAGCTCATTTTCAAAAACTCAAAATTTCAGTTTTTGAAAGACACTTGAAATAACGAGAAAATAATCAAAATGTAAACCATTCAAATAACGAGAATGTAATGGAAGCACCGTTTTTCAGAGAAACTTGAACCAACGAGAAAAAATTCGAAGAAAGAGAAATTTCGCCAAAAACATTTTATGCCTCAAAAGTGGGTTTCTCGAATACTTGAGTGTTTAAAGTGAGAACTGAGAGAAAGCAAGTAGTTATAGATTTGTAACAATTTTCAAATGTTTTCATTACTACCCAAAAGTGACAGATTTTCTTGTCCAGAAAGGGTCATTATCACAACTCTTGTCAGTTGTTTATTGATGAAATACTCGTGTCTCACCGAAATACAGAGACCGCCAGCTGCTGTGCGGGACGAAGTTCGATAGAAATGTCACCAGCCGATATAATTGTTCCGTTTGTGAGTTGGGTGGCTTTGTACCACACTGATAAAGTGAAGTCGACAATTTCCGATGTCGTAGGTGCAATACTTGTCATTTTAACATCACCATTGACGGAGAACTCGAACGCTGTGGGCATAATGTATTAATAATTACACATACCATAATAATACCATTTTATGTGTTTTTACACGATTATTAAAATAGGAAATGTATGATACTTTACAGTTGACAACTTCTTTATTATACACAAACAATTTAGTTAAGCAACCCCTGAGATATCTCACGATTAAATGAGCCACGATCTTAACCCTCTGGAGCATATCAGGGACATGATTAGTCATCGTGTGCACCATGGGGGTCCTCCTGTACAGAACCTGGCCCAATTGGAAGCTGCTTTACACGAGGAATGGCGTAGACTGTCCCTTCAGAGGATCAGGAGGCTGACAGGGGGTATAAGGAGGAGAGTGCTGACTGTCATACAGTCACCTGGAGGTTACACTCGGTATTGACTTTGAGTCGTGTAAGACACACAAAATGACATTTTGAATGTTCACCGTCACCAATAAATTCACCATTAAACATTCCAGGGCCATACTTGTACAGACATGGTTTTGTATGAAATCGATATAGGCAATCGGAATATGGTAACAATGGAGGGAAGCCAACAAAATAATAAAGAGGTTGTCATCCATAAAGTAGCATACCTTTGTTATTATTCATCAATATCTAAAATGCCAATCAAACAGATCCGACGATTATGAGAAGGATGTATTTATTAAATTATTATCATGCATCAGAAGCAACGATCCGCGGATCCTGGTACAACACAGAGAGACAAATGTACATACCAAGTTTGGAGACGAATACTGCACTGACATTGGCAATGGTTCTGGAATTACTCTTAAGCCTTTGGTAGCGTTTTAGAGTCTGATCGAAAATATTTGGCTTATACACCCCACTCTGCAATGTTCCAGCTATATGACGGTGTTCTGTAAATAATCAAGTCTGGACCAGACAATCCAGTGATCAACAACATGAACATCGATCTATGCAAATTGAGATACGATGACATGTGTCAGCCAAGTCAGCAAACCTGACCACCCGATCACGTTAGTCGCCTCTTACAACAAGCATGGGTTACTGAAGATCAAACAAAACGAACACTATTATAAATATGGTTTTTTGTTTTCAGCTGAATTAAACAATGATCAGACAACACTGAAGGATCGAGTACTAACATTTGCAGGCTTCGGGTGATGTGCTTCCTGTAGGGCTGATGGTACCTCTTGGACAAGGAAGACATTCTCTGGCACTTGCCAACTGTTGATACTCTCCAAGAGGACAAACAACACAGGGCTCGATGCCGTTAGGGGATGTCAGTCCAGCAGGACATTGGACTTGAAGGAAGACACCACAGATTGAAACACGCAACTCAACAATCACATTGCAAAACTATATCATTACACAGGGATAAAGCGTTGCTTGTCACAAAAATGGTGGACGAGATTTTCTTCATCAACGTAGAATGCTTGAAACTCAAATTAACATCTCCTAGCCATGATATTAAAGGCAATGAAGAATAAAAAACCTCATAAAATACAACCTATTTACAAACTCAACATGTGTTCCCCTACCAGAGTCAGCATCACATCTGAGTATTTAACACAAAATTAACACAAAAAGACTCTTTCAAGTTATAAATTATGATGCTTGTTTGTTTTTACATTTGGGAAGTTTCATATTCCATCTTTATGCTGAATGGCTTTGTTTGTTGTTTGTTGTTTAACAATACTCAAGCTATATGGCGACGGTCTGTAAATAATTGAGTCTGGATCAGTCAATCCAGTGATCAACACCATGAGCATCGATTATGAGTCATTTGTAATAAAACACTGCAACCTCGTCATCTCGAACTCATTATTTTGAAAGATCACTTAATATCATTGAATACTTTACCAAATATTATACTGTCTATCTGTTAATTTCTTGAATTTCATTTGGAGAATTCATAGCTTTAAAAAAAAGACAAAATATTATGTTTTCCCTCAAAACATTTTTTATGTTTCAGGACACTCGAAGTGAGTATTTATGTGTGACTACCTTTACAATCCGCACGCGACGTCGAACCTTCGTCAAGAGAAGTAGTTCCGCTAGGGCAAATCTTACAGCTGAAGCTGTGGTCTTCGTTTTGGTAACTGCCTTTAGGGCAAAGGTCACATGAGGATGTTGCTCTGTTATACATCGTACCCTTTGGACACACGGCTGGAAGAGAAACACATTCACAACTGCACATGTAAAAATACGCAAAAATATATTTGTACCCCAGGTATTTTGTAAACCTTTTCACTTCTATATTTTCAGTTCAGTCTTATCATGTTATCAACCCAATCTTTGCAAAGCCCGTGCAGATCCGGGTCTTCAGCAACCCATGCTTGTCATGTGTGCGATTATTGCGGGAAATATGAAAAATGTGTTTTCCAGCGTAGGTGGAAATTAACCAACGAGAGCCGTTTTCTGTTTCCGAGACATTCAGAGATTTACGGAAACTGTCGATGTTTACCGAAGACAGGCCAAACGTTTGTTCACAGCAGAGGGTAGTGTTAATGCGAGGGTCAGGAGTCAAATATGAAATGCAGTTAGAAAAATTGAATACGATCAGCTCAACACGATTTTTTTGTGAAAAACGTAAGGTTTGATTGAACTGCCTTTTAAAATAGTCGGGCTGCCCGGTTTTCGATCAGCTTTTAGCATCGGTAATGTCACCCCTTGTGTATTTTAATATAATAGTGTATCGGTAGAATTTTCTAAAATCTGTATTTCTTCACCGATTTCCCTCAAATTTAAAATATATGATAATCATAACATTTAATAATATAACTAGGTTTTCACTTCTAAAAGTTATAGTCCAAAAATTGATTCGAACCCCTGTGGCAAGCTTTGAATGTCGCAGATGACGGCTTCGAAGAGCTAAATTGCAAGAACGTCCATTCGGCCGCACATGGTAGACCATTGTCAGACTAATGAGACGTGTGAACCAGACTGGTCAGTCATCTGGCAGTGTCAGATGACTATTGTGAAAGACTAAGGCTGACCATCCCGCGAAATGACCACCATGTGCTCATTCTTTATCTCCGCAACCAGATGCCCACGATAACGTAATCAGCGTCAACAGCATTGGGTCACCGAAACACAGTGATGACACGACAGCAAACTGTGGTCACCACGGCCTGTCGAACATTTCGATGCGTGTCATAAACCCGTCAACATCGTCTAAATCGTCTACGTCGGCCTCGGAACGTTAGGCGCTGGCAACGTTCCAATTGGGACGCCGTGATTGGCGTTTTGGCAACACGTACACAACAGAATATAATTCAAAGGCCCGTTTCTTTTGAACGTTAGTATATTTTGCAACCTTAAAATATGACACTTCATGTGGGCCTTCTTTTGCGACATTGTTTTATGAAAAAACAGTAAAAATAGTCGTTATGATGTGGACTGCAACTGCAAACGCAGTACACAACAAAATCATTTTTAAGAAAAGGGTAGCTTTGGGAATTTTTTTTGCCAAGAAGACCGTTAAATCTCAAACTGGCTTTATGAAACATAATTAATTAGAGAATAATGAGAACGATTTCATCATTAACCCGTATATAGAAAAGTACAATTAATTGTTCGAGTCTGCATTTGGAATTTCCTGAAACTGCATTTATTAAAATTTGAATGGCTTCTATCGGAAGCCACGGAAGTCCATCACAAGATCAGTAGCTTGAACGTTCTTCAGAACAGACTGAGAAAAACATTGGGATCTGGTTATTTTCCAAGCGGTAGACGATACCTGTAATTCTATTACGCTATTTACGAGTTTATGACTTTTGTAAAATGTTAAATGTAAATTACTATTATGTTACAGTCAAGGTTATTTTCTTACCACAGGAACCAGTTTCAAAAACTGGTAGCATTCCTTCCTCACATTTGAAATCCGCGTTCATGGAACTGAGGGAGTCATTGTGGACGTGACCACCGGCGACGGTCGTGTTGAATTGACCATTGTTCAGCATCGCCTGGACCTTGTCCAGTAGCTGTTTCAGGACATCCCTGTGGTACGTGACGCAGGCGTCTGTCGTCATGTTGTTACAGACGTAGTCGATGCCGAAGTACCATGTCACCTCCAAAGCCGTCTCCGACCGCCTGTACCGGTTAAGTGGAGCAAGAAGCTGTAAAAAACGTAACATATGTACACCTTATCAATGCCAGTGAAGCACAATTGTAGCTGTGTGTAAGATTCACAATTACATACAACGATGAAGTTGTTATCTTATATATTCCCCATCAAAAGTTTAGACTCACTAGTGTAAATGTAGCCACTTACTTCAGTCAACTGCTCTAAACTAGATTTTGCAAAATATTCCATTCTATTTAAAGGTATTGTTTACACATGAACTGATGTCTTGTAAAACAAATTCGTAACGTTGAAAATATTATTGTCATGAGTTCAATGAATGGTGAATTCTTAACAAAACCCAACACCAAAACGCAGCTGTTCACATGTACGATATTTGCACATGGAAGTAATTTGATGGATGATCCTCGTGCAACCCATATGCATGAGGTTTGCAGTTGGTTCCCCCCAAGTTGTAGAGAAATTCATCTTCGATGTAACCACATATATACACACTGTACGTAACAAAGAGAACTCTTTAAGTGAGTCTAAACTTTTGATGGGTAGTATATACACAATCAGCGTACAATCAAGTTGACCAAGGGGTCGGACACATTCCTTAGTAGGATGAGCTGAAATTATGTATTAGAGATTAGATCATGTACTGCTACATCTGCGAAATCAGAATAAACAAACAAACAATTGAATAAATCACGTCAGAGGAAAATAATATCCAGAATTGATTAACCCCAACCCACACCCCTCTCCAATTAAAAAAATTGAAGGGGGTGACAACCATTATTCGCATGAGTATACATAGCTGTTACATTGAACCCTGCAGCTCAATGAATCAGTCATTCACAATGGCAGAGACAGTGAATTATTTCCTTGATCCAGTAATAAGGTATATATGCTTGAGGCCATTTTGAAGAATCTGATCACAAGTCGTGTATATTTCTTCAACATGGTCTAAACAAATATAGTTACCTCTTGATTAGTTAGACTCCTCTTTCTCCTGTTGACGGTCACACAGGCCACCGTTACATCTTGCAGAGAACAGGAGCTAGTTGTGGCACAATCAGTATTTGAGAAAAATGTAGTACTGTTGATTAGTGGTAGGAATACATCCTCAAGTTGTTGTTTGCCAGATGCGGTTTCGCAGCTGCTCGTGTAAAGTCGCATACTGGCTTCAAGACGCATCTCATCTGGAGTTCTCTTGACTGAAAAAAAAGACGAGAATATATATAGGAACTTTGAATAACTTACCATTTTAAAACAAATTTTTCAAAGAAATATTTATTTTGCATGTACTGACATCTACACGCCGTTCTCATTTTTGGGAAAGTCTCGTATAATCACTACTTGAGAGTGTTTTATCAATAAAACGCATCAATATTACTGCTATATGTCAGCGGTCTGATAATACTATAGTCTGGACCAGGCAATCAAGTGATCAACACCATGAGTATCGGTCTACTCTGACTACTACTATCGTCTCCTGGGATACTATGAGTGAGTGAGCTGAGTTTTACGCCGCAATATTCCAGCAATATCACGGCGGGGGGACAACAGAAATGGGCTTCACACATTGTACCCATGCGGGGAATCGAACCCGTGTCTTCGGCATGACGAGCGAACGCTTTAACCACTGGGCTACCCCACCACCCCGGGATGTGTGAAACCAAGTCAGAGAACCTGACCACCCGATCCCGTTAGTCGCCTCTTACGACAAGCGTGGATTGCTGAAGACCAATTCTAACCCGGATCTTCACGGCTATGGTAACCGCAATGCGAAGAAAGTATAGTGTCCGCTAAGAACCGTTAAAAATTTTCATTGATCTGATATGATCAATTTACACACTTTTTTAAATTCGAAGCGGTTGTGATTATAGAACTATACTTGCTTCCAAACTTTTCGAATTTGTAAAATTCAATTTGACTAATTTTGTATTTTACTGTAAGCTGGATGTTCACGGGTAACCCACCTGTGCAGTCTGGAACGACAGTGCTCGGCGTCCAGACACCAGTTGATGGAGGACAAACAAAGAGATCGAACTGAGCATTGCGCGGTCTGTCCCACTCGGCCCCGCATGTCATTGTACACATATCTCCACCAGTTTGATGTCGATCACAGGATAAATTACCATTGGCAGGCTGCCTCAGAGGTGGACATTTCGGCTCTGTAGTAATGAAATGAAATTTATTTACATTTTTGTTTGTTTGTTGTTTAATGCTGCAGTCAGCAATATTCCAGCTATATCTGTAGTCTGTACATAATCAAGTCTGGACCAGACAATCCAGTGATCAAATGCATAAGCATCGACCTACGCAACTGGGATACGATTACATGACATGTGTCAACCAAGTCAACGCACCTGACCCGCACATCTCGTTAGTCGCCTCTTATGACAAGCCTGGGTTGCTGAAAACCAATTCTAACCCCGATTTGTAATGTAACATGTATTTATAATGAGAGAACAATAGGCAAGAAATGGCAGGACTAATACGTATATATTTTCCCACAAAGGAAAAAAATAATTTAAAATGGTAACTAAAGATTACATGTTTGAACGTGATAAAACAGTTTAAAATAAACAAGCCATATTGCGATACGTACCGCGATACATTGTTTAAATCAAACTTTGAAATTCAGAAGCATTCAGAAATGTCATTGCATTAATTGAATTTGATAATACAATAAAACAAGACACTAGTAATGACGACCAACAATGTCGCCATCTTTGACGAAAGTGTAGGAATGCGCATGCACATAAGGGAGGTAACTGAGAATTCACTCATCGTTGCGGATTTCGACATTTCGAGGGTGTTTGGCATGTGAATGCATTAAACGCATGATTATGTCTTTTCTTTATCACCATACCTGTGATCAAGGGTTTCCAGTCCAACGTTGATTACTCACAAGAAAGGTTTAACATTCGGGTTCTGGAGGATTACTACAGCGAATATTTGAAAATACTTGAAAAATGGATGTTTGATGGAGTAGCGACAGTAAAATTGATCCCAGATTGAAACCCCATTACCAATGCTTGGGTCAGTAATCAGTAATCACTTGGGAAAGCCTGGGTAAGTAATCAGTAATCGCTTTGGTCAGTAACCACTCACGTGTCACTTGTGGCAAGTTTCTCATAACGCGCAGGGGGCGGTGGGGTAGCCTAGTGGTAAAAGCGTTGGCTCGTCACGCCGAAGACCCGGGTTCGATTCCCCACATGGGTACAATGTGTTAAGCCCATTTCTGGTGTCCCCCGCCGTGATATTGCTGGAATATTGCTAAAAGCGGCGTAAAACTATAGTTAATGGTTTTTGTTAATTAAAGTATTAATTTGGCCGAATTAGAAACAAATCTATCTTGAAGTACAATATACACCAGAGAGGGGGGGTGGGGTGGAAATAAATAACACCAAACAATCTGTTTCCATTTTGTAACTCTTTCCTTAGGTTCCAATCGGAAGAATCGTAAACCGAAAAGGGTGTCATGGTAACATTGGAAGTTTGACTCACCCTGGCAGGACGGCGAGGACCCGGTCAACAATACCCAGGACATAGTTGGTAGTAAGGCAGCATTTGTCTGACACTTTATGGAGTTTGATCCGTCAAGGACATAGCCGCCAGAACAGCTGACGTTACATTGTGAGTCAAGGTCATATTGCTTGGTGCAGTCATATCGCAGCCTGGGGTCGCTGTATGGCGGTGGGGAACAGATCGGATCTGGAGAAGAAAACACATAGATTCAAACCTCGTAACTGGGGCAGTGCAGTGAGTGAGTGAGTATGGGTATTATTCCAGCAACATCAAGGTGGTAGACACCAGAAATGGGCCTCACACATTGTACGCATGTGGGGAATCAACCTCGGGCCTTCGGCCAGGCTACCCCACCGCCCCTCATTAAATAATAGGCGCAGTTGGGTAGCCAAGAGGTTAAAGTGTTTGCTCGTCACGCCCAACTCACGGGATCGATCACCACATGGATACAGTGTGTGAAGCCCATTTCTGTTGTCTACCGCCAGTGTTGTTGCTAGAATACTGCTAAAGGTGGAGTAAAAACAAAACTATATATTTAACGTTTAGATGTTTTGTAGACTTTCTTGTGATCTATATACCTAACTATGTAGATCTTTCACCATATACAGACATTCTAATGATGCGTATACTTGTGTAAGACAGACAAACTTAAGACCTTCATGTCAAGATGTAAACAAATAGAGTCCCTCTAATCATATAATATATACTTTCTAAACATATACTGATGTACATAAGAAAGGGCACACCTGGTGTTTTGGGACTATTCCTAATAAAATCGTAAATATTTTGCGAGCAATGTTGTAAGTGTGTACAATATCTGTAGCGTTTTGGAAACACTTGTATAATATTTGTGAGAAGGCAGAATCAAAACACTTTAAATATGAATGCTGTTTTCAAGAAAATATTTTACCAAAGAATCAGGTGTGTACTTTCTTTTGAACGTTAGTTTATGTAAAGACTTTTTGACATATACTGACTGGTTCTGGTACTTGAGTGAGTGAGTGTAAGGCATAATATCTTTAGTTAAATCGTAACACTATCGTTATGTGCTGCATGTACTGCCATAGATATTGGTAACAACACGAATATATAATAATAATCACTCAAAACACTGTTTTATCTAAGGAAGAAAATATTACATTTTTCACTCAGTCTCTCACTCTTATTTTCTTTATGTTTAGGTGACCATTATATTTGTTTTTATTAAGTCAATCCATTATTCACAAACCACGCTACAATAGTAGCATTTGCACAGTCAATCTGTCAAACACATTAACTGCAATGGATCTACATAAAATAGAATTAAACCTAAACACTTGAAAAAAATCAGTAAAAATAATGCCCGAAATAGGTGAAAATCAAATACAGTTTTGCCTATTTTGAGATTTTACAAATATTAGACTGAATGAGTATTGTTTTACGCCTCTGTTAGCTCTATCTGAACTCAGAAGAGGAATCCATTCATTGAAGCTATGTGGGCTCGAAACCAGAGTTTAGGCGTGACGAGCGAACCCTTTAACCACAATGCCACTCCACCACCCGATACCATGATGTTATGTAAATTTTGTATATCTTAACAAATATACTCACGGTTGACAAGGACGTTGAACACACATTCTGCCTGGTTTCCGGAACTGTCAACTGCCTTGTGTCTGACCACCGTCTTTCCCACGGGAAAAGCTGACCCAGAGACGGGTCCCGCTGTTTGTGTGACTGAAACATTTCCTGTGTTGTCCGTTGCCAAAATATCATTCCAGATTACTGTCGTCATAGCAACGGGGGTGCCAGCGTACCTAAGGCTGTTTTCCACAGGACAATTGCTAAATGTCGGAGGGGTTGTGTCTGAAGTGAAACATGTGAAAACATTGATTAACTGTAAAATAAAAAGATCATTAAGACCAAAACATATACCCAGGTGGGGCACGGTTAGTTTAACGCTGGTCTCCCTTACGTCGTTTACACACTTACTACAGCGCAATGAAAGCAGAAAATGGTTTCAGAAAACAAAAGCCATATTTTGGAGACCCAAACCAAAAGCATATAAGGAATTGCACTTAAACATTCGGATGACGACAATCGTTTTGAACTACTGGAATATTTTCATTTTACGCGAGGATTAGACATGTGCTACTTTCATGAGTGAGCGGAACGACATATTGAGCGATATTCCAGCAGTGCCATATCGGGAACCAAAAATGAGATTCAAACACCGTTACCTATATAAACTGAAGAATCGATCCCGGATGTGAACATTTTAACCAGTAGGCTACACTCGCCTTATACACGCCCCAGTATAATGCAACGTATCCATGGAGTTATGCTCCTCTGTATACAGGTAAGGAGAAGCTCGGGTGTAAACAGACCCAGGGCTCTCAAATCCGTGAAGAACCGGACCAGAATTGGTCTTCAGCAACCCATGCTTGTGTAAGAGGCGACAACAGGATATGATGGTTAGGCTTGCTGACTTCGTTGACGCATGTCATCGTTTCCCAATTAGATCGATGCTCATGATGTTGATCACTCGATTGGTTGGTCCAGACTGGACTATTTATGGCGTGGATTATTTATATACCTGGAATATTGCTGAGGGGGCTTTACACAAACAAACAATCTCGGGTTCTCTGTAATACAGATTCCTCTACTTTGGAGGGTGGGCCATATAGTTCTCGGGTTCTCTGTAATACAGATTCCTCTACTTTGGAGGGTGATAAAAGAACCAAAGATTCCAAGTTTTTTATCGTTGCGTTTGCGATCCCTAAAATGTCTTCCCTGCTTACCATTGCAGTCAGGTATTGGTAAATCCCAACTCCCGTTTGGAAGACAGAATGTTGCTCTCGGAGTGGTCATGGAAAGTCCAGCTGTCAGGTTGCATCTCACGGAACAGATGCTGCCGTAGTTGAAGCCGTCGGTGCAGGAGAAGGAGGTGTCAAGGCTGGGACAGGTCGTTGCTGATCGTGAAAGCAAATCAAATTCCATGCATCATTGTTTGTGAAGCCTAAATGGAGCCTTTTTGAGAACACGAAGTCATATTTGATACATTAATCCATTTATAAAATCCACCTCTTTTGCTACCAATAGATTTGGTCCAGTGAATCATCGATATCGGTTCATCACCGGACTTGATGGTTCTGTTTCTATTTAACGTGATATCAATTCAAAATGTATAAGGTTAAGATATATGTACATGGATTGTACGACACAGTACCGACCTAGTATGTACTCGGTGAAATTGTCCGTTGTCCATTGTAAAAAAAAAGATTAACGAAATATGGTTTAATGGTTAACGTGTGATGTTCTGCTGATGTTGGTTCGAATCCCAGATTAGTGACACTTATTCCTTCGAGTAAACTGATAAACATATGCCAACTGTCCCCGGGTCGTTCTCCGGCAATAACACTGAGAAACGCTATAATCGGACTCACCCACTCTCTTGTTTTGGGAAAACCTTCATGGGGACTTGCGCTGGAATATTGCTAAAATGATATTAAATCCAACTCACTCACTCACTCACTCGGACTCACGTGTGCATGTTGGTTCCTGATGGCTCCATGCACCTCCTTCTTCACACGTGAGCTGACTTGCTCCATTAATTGTGTATCCACTGATGCAAGTAAACTGACACGTTGTTCCAATGATGAAGCTGTTTCTGTCACAGCCACGGCTAGCATGTGTGACCACTGGCACAGAGCATGTGTGAACTACAACAGAATTACATTCATTTCAAGACATTAATCAGATTCACAGAAGTCGGATATCACTTACAATGGACACGGAACCAGTCTACACAAGCCATTGAAACGGCCTACGGGGGACATTGAAGCGACCTACAGTGAAGATGGAAAAGGACCCATACAGTCCATTGAAACGGCCTAAAATGAACATTGAAAGGGTCTACTGTGGACATTGAAGCAGCCTACAGTGAAGATGGAAAGGGCCCAAACAGTCCATTGAAACGGCCTACGATGAACATTGAAAGGGTCTACAGTGGACATTGAACCAATCTAAAGTGGACATTGAACCAATCCAAGGTGGACATTGAACCAATCCAAGGTGGACATTGAACCAATCCAAGGTGGACAACAAAAGATCGTAGAGTGGGCACTGAACCAATCCAAGGTGGACATTGAACCAATCCAAGGTGGACATTGAACCAATCCAAGGTGGACATTGAACCAATCCAAGGTGGACATTGAACCAATCCAAGGTGGACATTGAACCAATCCAAGGTGGACATTGAACCAATCCAAGGTGGACATTGAACCAATCCAAGGTGGGCATTGAACCAATCTAAGGTATCATTGAACCAATCCAAGGTGGACATTGAACCAATCCAAGGTGGACATTGCAAAAGATCCAAGGTGGACACTGAACCAACCAATCCAAGGTGGACATTGAACCAATCCAAGGTGGACAACAAAAGATCGTAGAGTGGGCACTGAACCAATCCAAGGTGGACATTGAACCAATCCAAGGTGGACATTGAACCAATCCAAGGTGGACAACAAAAGATCGTAGGGTGGGCACTGAACCAATCCAAGGTGGTAATTGAACCAATCCAAGGTGGACAACAAATGATCGTAGAGTGGGCACTGAACCAATCCAAGGTGGACAACAATCAAGAATCTGATTCCTATTACCCCGATAACAAGCTGTCTGTTAGGCTCTAGAAGGTTAAAGCCATCGTACAGTTGACACTGAACCACTCCAATGTGGACTTTGAACCAATCCAAGGTAGACAGGAAAACATCGTACAGTTGACACTGTACCACTCCGAGGTGGACTTTGAATCAATCCAAGGTGGACTTGGGTTGTTTTTGGGTTGTTGTATTTTTGTTGAAAGTCTTTTTTATCCTTAAATCAGCAATGCCCGACGCCGTCGCACTCAATCATCCAGGGAAGCTAGTCAGAAAAGCAGAGCCATTTTATGTCGTCCAACAAGAAATCACATGTTTATGGGGACCCATTCTAGCCATTATTTTCCTGGGATTTACAACTTTATGGCTAAAACATCTTTTTTATTGTCCTGAGCGACATTTCAGTACAGGTTTAACACCTTTTTCAAGTTTAATGTGTCTGCAACCAAATGAGAGGTAGTGATTGTAGACATTTTTAGCTTGATAACCATGTAAGCATCTAACGTCGCTCTGTGCAACAAGCAAGGAATTGTTGTCCACAAAGTTGTAATCTTCCTCACTGACTTTCCAACTTCTAGAATGCCGATCAAACAGTTCCTCTGGAACTAAAATATTCTGTTCAAAGTGGAGAGCAATGAGCAAAGTTCCTTTACATCCATGAAATATAACTGATATCTACATACCTTTAACCTCGAACGTGACATGACAGAAACTCGACAAGCCGTTATCATCTGTTGCCTTGTATACAAATGTCGTCACTCCCATATTAAAGGAATCGCCTGGTCTACCGTTACCAGCCACAGCCACCACGCTACTCGGCATAAAAAAGAAAACATAGTTTGGGTTTGTTTGTTTTTTCCTTTTCGGGTTTTTAGTTTTTTTTATTTGTTTTTTAATATTGTATTTTTTTTTGTGTGTTTTGTTTTTATTGTGTGTGTTTTTAACAATTCCATTTCAGTTCTCAAATATATTACATATGACATAAAAGACAATATATGTGACATCATTGATCGTTTGGCATAAAAGACATCATTTGTGTTAGGGTTATAACAGAAGTAGATACATAAAGTATCGTTAAGGGTTTCTGAAGAGGGTAGAGGAGATTGAAGGAATAAGGTTTAATAGTTGTGATTGTAGTGAGTGGAGACTGGAGATATCAATCGATATTTTAAGAGCGCTTCAATGCTCAGTACCTAATAAGGTTGATAAATGTTTCCACTTCCTTATAAAAGGATCTAAGTTATTGTTTTTCCTAGCTATACTATTCAAAACAAGTAGGGGATTTTGGATTTACAAGATTGATAAAATACAAATGATGAAGCCAAGGAGGAAACAGATGATGAAGAGAAATTAAGAGAAAATGTGACAAATTGTTCGAAATGTTTCATCTGTATGGATTTATATTACTTTTTCTCATATGCATTGGCAGTGGCTAGTGGTATGCTCACAAAATGGAATATCCCCTACTATTTTTAATGGTATATATATTTTTCAGTTGCATAGTTATCTTTAAATAACTTAAGAAATCCCTCAAAGAAAAATGCATGATGTTTAACACCAGAAACATAAATGAATCTTTAGGCTAGAAGTATAATATGAGTTAGTATTTTACTGTTTTCGCACACTCAAAACATGATAATGAATCTTGTAAATGTCATTTCCCAAATGAATGTATAGTTTATATGAAGTAAGTTGAAGCAGTTTCAGTCTCTTTTGATAACTGGCAAGAAACTTGAAACCAAGATCAAAGTAAACAGTCATGTTTGTATAACTCTAAATCAAAGTGATCATATTTATCAACGGAAGTCAATTACGAAACTATCAATAGTCACACATACTATCGATGCATCGATAGTTTTTTGTTTCTACCATCAATTAATTGTGATCGGAGACTCAACAATTGCAATCCATCGATAGTTTGATGCATCGTTACAGCCCTAATCAGCATATTGTGCAAGTTTCTGTTCTGTATCATTAATTGTTATATCCTTTATGTCAGGGTTTGACCTTACCATAATGCCTAATAATTCAGCTGCAATGATTAATAAATACGGTGAGACCAGATCTCCCTGTCATAGTTACAGTGGGTTCGATTCCCCACATGGGTACAATGTGTAAAGCCGATTTCTGGTGACCCCAGCTGTGGTGTTGCTGGAATATTACTAAAACAGGTTGCAGTGGGTGACAATGTGACAATTCCTGGTGTTGACAGAGGGAGAGCCAATCCAAGGAATATGCTAGGAGTTATAATGGACATTACTGACAACGGCATATACACACTTGCTGTAAAAGCCTGTGTCTTGTGTGGAAAGTATTCACGCAACCAGTTTGATGTGTGTGTCAGATCTCCCTACACAATTACAGATATGTCGCCTGAGAAACTTGTACCGCTGAGAACTGCAGTCCAGTGGTGGGCAGGGTTTTGTGAAGTGTAACAGTAGTGGCACAAAAAGATGTCGGACACAAAGGTGCAAATGTTACAAGGCTCGGGCTATGTGTAACTCGCGATGTCACTCTTCCCTCTCTTTCAAAAAAACAAATGTTGATACATATGAGTGTTGTTTGAGTGAGTGAGTTAATTATATTTAACGTAACATCGGCAATATTTCAGCCATGTCGTGACGAGAGTGTTGTTTGACTGTCGTGACTTTTTTTCAAAAAGATGTCACAGAGGGTACTCTGATCCATTGCATCTGATAGTGATAGATATTGTTTTTTCACTTACATGTTGAATTATTTGATATTTTTTATAACATATTTATGCAACTATTTTCATTTCAACGCAGAAAAAAGATTCTTTTGATTTTTTACACGTTTTTGTCTTTACTTATTACAAGTTGTATTGTCAAAACAAACACTGAGAATGCGATGTATTCATTTAGCGGAATATGTAAAAACAATTGTCGTAACTTTGACAAAATCACTGATTTGACATATAACACTGTTTTCATATATAAAATACACTCATATTCACTGAATATAGTATGGGAATAGGTATGCACAGACAAACCAAGAAACATAATCAGGGCAAATCAGGATTCCAACTGACAGTACCAGCTGTTTGACGTGACCTAGGAAGGCATCTCCGCCTCGCGAGATTCGACGCCTGAGATGGTTTAAGCCTCATTTGTCGCTGTCGATACTTATCGTTCGTTCTTAATATGTTGAAATTTTATTAATAAATCTGTTCAAAGTAACTGTTGCAAACAGGGGTTTGATGGTCAATCTTATGTCCGATGCCATTTAAACTATCAGACTAAACAACCCATCATTATACCTTGCAAAATGTATATTGAATCAGTCTCGGTACATAACGTCGACCTTGACCAGAAAAGCAGTGTTTGATGTCGTGAGCACCTATCCAGGCTGTCGGGTTCACGCAATCAGCCCCGTCACCGAGCCTGACCACCCGATCCCCAATACGACATCTGTTAGAAATACTGACCTGACACTCTTTCCTTGACCATCATGTGCTACAGGTACTGTCCACGTGACGCGAGTGGTTGTCCGTCCTTTCACATACAATGGCGTCTTTGGCGATGTGCAGCTTGAAAATGTCGGAGAGATAAACCCTTTAACAAAATCAATATTTGGTACTAACCATTACCCAATATAAACGGACTCAACTGCATACTGATGCAAAAAAGAAACTCGATGTAATCCAGAAGTGCTGGGTGTGATTTGTCGGACACCAAATATTCAGGAGGACCAGATACATGTATGCTATGGATAGTCTGGTTACCAAAATGCAACAGCTATCGCTCGTCTCAAGACATGAATGTACAGAAAAAGCATCTGATGATATATGTCTTTAATGTGAACTGATTAAAATATTTATTTATCTTTCTCTCAACTCATAATATTGAGAAAACACTCTAAACAAATAAACGTGTCATTTTAAGGTGAAGGGAAGTATATACAGTTCAACGATCTGTCGAGAAACCTACTCGGCTACGCTGTAACTTTATTGTAAAAAAAACATGTTTGCTTTCTGAAAGAAAGTAATGATGATATCATAAATCTTGATAATGATACCGAATAAGAATATAAGTTTCAAAATCTTTGCGACCCGTGAAGGTCCGGGTTAGAATATTGATCTTCAGTAACCCATGCTTGTCGTAAGAGGCGACTAACGGGATCGGGTGGTCAGGCTCGCTGAGTTGCTTGACACATGTCATCGGTTCCCAATTGCGCAGATCGATACTCATGCTGTTGATCACTGGATTATCTGGTCCAGACTCGATTATTTACAGACCGCCGCCATATAGCTGGAATATTGCTGAATGCGGCGTAAAACTAAACTCACCCTCTCACTCAAAACCTTTTTCCATAATCATACCATCAAAGGTCCGTGCCAGAAAATAACCTGTCTAAATTATCTGATTGATCAGATTTGTCATATCAGTAAAACATATACACTAGACGTCAATAGAAACGTTACCCTCCTACCTTTATGAATTACTGAAAAACTATCAAAGATATTTTAGAAGGTTTTAGTTTACAAGAAAGCTTAACAACACAGCTTTATGCAAATCACGAAAACAATTCTCAAATGTATTCATATTTGGGTGAAATGCATCTTTTTCAGAAGAGTTAAGCCAATAATAGTGATTTTGATGTCCAAAAGAAAGGTTGAAATAAAATTCTGCTTTCGGACAATGATAAACCATTTAACGTAACCATTTTTCAACTATTAAAACAAGAAACAACTTTTGTGGAGTGTGTAAAATTGTAAAATAATCATTGCTATGATTTCAGTCTTTTAAAACATTTTCTGCAGATTTGCATTAGTGAAAACAAGTAAAACGTGTCTTTGATATTGTGAAAAAAAAAATTTAGGCTCTTTGTTAACATTTTTCCACTCCCATTTTACACATAGCGATATCAATCGCCAAAACGCAGCAATATTCAGACAGCATTAACATGCAGAACGATTTTATTGGGTATAAAGAGAACCTAGAAGACATGATCTGATACACAAGTACGAGAACTATGCCACGATTAACAGCTGAAGGGAGAAAAAGAGCCATTGGGATGGTGCAGATGGGGTCGACATACAATGATGTTGCCAACGCCCACGGATGCCACCGTATCACGGTTATAAGACTTATTCAGGGCTTCAGACAGACTGGGATAACCGTAGACAGACCAAGAAGTGGACAACGAGGAGAGTTCTATGGATATACAACGCATCACAACGCCAGCTGAAGATAGGTACCTACGTCATTAAGGAAGGAGGGTAACGTTTCTTTTGGCGTTTAGTTTATGCATGGTTCACTGATAGTCAGTGCTTGGAGCAAGTGTTCGTGAAAAGAATGTCCTTACGAAATATCATCTTAACAAGGAACCTTGTTAATCTTGCAAACGGGGAAGCGCTTGCATGTATTCCTTTTCTGTCAGCCGAAAAAGGGAAAGTAGAACTTACCCAGAAACCCTGGTTGTCGCCTCTGACAAAACAAGGAACAATCGCTGATGGAATCATCCAGGAACCAAAACGATCTTTTCGTCCTTCTTCTGCCTGTTAGAAGGAACAATGTTACACAGTTGATGGCTTTAGGTGTTTATACATTATTATATCTTCATCCATGAAGGATCGTTGGGGTAGCCTAGGGTAGCCCGTCAGGACCCAGGTTCGATTCCCCATGTTTTCGCTCATTTCTCACCGGATTAAATTGATCTTCAGTAACCCGATTCGTAATGGGCATACTGGGATGGTGCCCATTTCTTGGTTGAAACATGTCCCCGCATCCCAATTGATAGATGGCTGGTATCACTATTATCTGCTAAACGCGATATTTTACAGGCCTCAAATAGATGGAATACACTCACGGCGTAAAACTATATACTCTCACTCTCTTATCCCTGTGTGGAATAGGTCCAGCGAACCAAATTCCCATAAGGTTGGTACACGATTCCTTGTCGTTGCAGCAAGGTTAGGGAATTGCATTATGAAAATACATGTACATTATAAAACACAATATATCGTATGTGTGTGGATGACCTTTCCTTAACATTCCTAAAACATTGCATGATAATATACTTTTGTTTTTAATTGCAATGCCCGTTATGATTTCTCATCACTTCTTGTATTCTCACATTTAGTTATTAGTTTATGCCAACTAACATTGACGTATTGTGTTGATTTATCGATATGGTTTCTGCGCGGTCTGATCGTGTCGTTCTCTGTTCCGCGAAGCACTTTGCGTTCGAGCGATATGTTCGTGTTCAAGAACATGACTTAAATCCATGCCATGTATACTATGAGATGATACGTGATGCAACGATTCATGTTAGGACGTAGCATCCACGACGTTGTGATAACAATATTTGTTTGTTTGTTTGTTTGCTTGTTTTTAACGCCGAATCAGCAGTATTCAAGCCATATTGAAGCGGTCTGTAAATAAACGACGAAGTGTAGACCAGGCAATCCAGTGATCGACATCAAGAGCATCGATCTACGCAATTGGGATACGTTGCCACGTGTCAACCACGTCAGCGAGCCTGGCCACCCCATCCCATTAGCTGCCTCTTACGGCAAGCATGGGCTGCTGAAGATCAATTCTAACCCGAATCTTCACGGGTTTGCGTTGATGATGTGTTTGCCCTGAGTGTGGCTTTGGTGTGAGCGTGAATAGGAATGCGGATGTCATGACAATATAAACAAACACCATGAAAACAGAGTCTATATAAGTCTAACTTACCCTTTTCACATGATGCAAGATTCCATGTCCCATTTAAGCACCAGGCACATCTATCAACACGTTTCTTGAGAGTGCAGACAGAATACTGAGGCACTCGTTGTATGCGAGTGGCTAGCCCGAGAGTGTTACCTTCTGGTGATCTGCAGAGGTCCAGCAGTGGTTGGTGATCTTCAGTGATACATGATCTTCGATATTCATCTTCCATGTCCTTGATCTAAACAATATAAAGAACGCAATTCAACACATATTTCCTCTTGAGTTGAACCTGGTAAAACGTTTAAGTTGTGTATGTATAGTAAACTGTCCTGTTTAAATAACCTGTGAGTTACTAATGATAGTTGGCAAATTGAAATTTGTCCAATTTTATATCTACAGAAAACTTAGGAATATTAGTAATTAGAATATTAAATGATTTCCAGTTGAGCGCTTGCCGTTTTTGACTTACAAGAACCATTGTTTCAGTGACTCAACATTATTGAACCAGCTGAATGAATAAACCACGGAACCAATCAACCAAACACTCAATTCGAATGAATGAATGAATGAATGAGTGAATGAGTGAGTGAGGAAGTGAGTGAGTGAGTGAGTGAGTGAGTGAGTGAGTGAGTGAGTGAGTGAGTGAGTGAGTGAATGAATGAATGAATGAATGAATGAATGAATGAATGAAAATATTGATGGATGAGATCGATGACCACATAGAATATCATAAATATATCATAGGACTATTCGACTTAAATTTCCATCTGGTCATAAAGATTTCAATGCTATTTAACAGCGAAGAAATTAGATGAAGACTTTTCAAAACTACTCGTCCTGATCATAATTATTGAGCAATTCCATGGGATGACTTTAACATCTCCTATGAGCGACATCCTCGAGACGATCTTCAGTAAAATGTACAACAACATTTGACGATACATTTATAGGATGTCATACAACGTTTTCCTATAAATACGTCACAGTTGGTTGTCAAGGTGACCAATTATATCACGTGGTACTTGAAGCCTTTCAACCATTGAGAAAAACTTGATTACTTGTTTAGTTGTATAAGATGTGCTCTAAAGAAACCAGAGCACACAAGCAGCATGTCACGTTAAGCGCTATAAACTGCAGGGTGGTATTGACATGGGCTGTGGTGGATTGGCCGATCAAGAGTTTGGTTAAAAAATAGTTATTTATTGCAGTTATTTTGCAGCAAATATGTCAACCAGCAAACTTCGATAGTATATTCGAAATAATGATAAAATTTTCCTTTTATGTATTTAATAGATATTATTTATATAAATTCCTTTAAATTGGGTGAGTGTTATTTTACTTGATAGGGTCAACAGTGAAGATCCTAGCTAGAAGTGATCTTCAGCAACCCATGCTTGTCGTAAGAGGCGACTAAAAGGATTGAGTGGTCAGTTTCATGACATTTGATGCATGTCATCGTATTCCAATTGCGTAGGTCGATGCTCATGATGTCAATGACTGGATTGTCTGGCGCAGACTCGACTATTTACAGACCGCTGTTTGCGTTTGTGGTTTAACAACAAAACAAACAAACAAATGAGTCATATATAATGTATAAAGGACAAATGTTGTGAAGTGTGATTTACGACATCCATTATACACACCACGTGACCGAGGAAATGCATTCTTGTTGAGGTACATCCGGGTATCGTGACAAGTAGTGTGAACAGATACAGACCAGCCACTTGAAGGAAGATCATTTCGCAATATCTGCCAACAATGAAGACAAAATAATTAATAAAAACAAGTTTTAAAGATTGACAACCTCTTTAGGGCAATAAAGTGTATTTCGGTGCAGATGCAAACACCCTTATCAAGGAAGTTATACACGACATTATACACAAGGAGAATATATACATGAAGAATAATTGACTTAATATAATTGAGTAGGTTGCCTCTACTGCATTGAGGAAGTTAGCCATCCATACAATCCTTTTCTTCTTCCTCATATGTCACTTAAATAATTATACAATAGCTAATTGATGTAAATGATTTGATTTGAAAACGTCCTACATTTCTATTATTTCTTAAAATGCATAGATTGGTTGTTTACTGAGAAAACAAAATGTGAAATGAAATCTACACCTCCTCGTACAGAAATGTTCATTAGACAAATGTTGTCATATTTATCCTTTTTCAAACTATAAGTATATTCGCTCTGTCACGCTGAAAGATCCGGGTTCGATTCCCAAATACATGGGTACAGCGTGTGAAGCCCATTGCTGGTGTGTACCCAGCCGTTATATTCCTGGAATATTGCTAAGCTAAACCAAACTCACTCATTCAAACTATGTTTTGGGAGCTGTCCGGTAATGCCTCGGCGAATTATTTCCTTGTTAATTATGCTCCTTGTTTAAAAAAAAACGACAGCAGATTGACGACTTTCAATGAAAATCAGGAACACTTCTCATATGATCACCATTACGGGCGTCGGATCGTTTTCCATGATCAACTTAAAGATACTCTTACAATAAAGAATATACCGGAACACACCAGAATGGTTGTAACGAACTGCGGCTATAACAAACTACTGTTATAACGAACTACGGCTATAACAAACTACTGTTATAACGAACTATGGCTAGAAACAGAACTACCGTATATGCACGAACTACGGCTAGAACAAACTACTGTTATAACGAAATCAGGATATAACGAACTATGGCTATAACGAAATACGGCTAGAACGGACTATTGTTATACGAACTATAGTATAACGAACTACTGTTATAACGAACTACTGTTATATCGAACTACTGTTATACGAACTATGGTATAACGAACTACTGTTATAACGAACTATTGTTATACGAACTATAGTATACGAACTACTGTTATAACGAACTACTGTTATATCGAACTACTGTTATACGAACTACTGTTATAACGAACTACTGTTATAGCGAACTACTGTTATAACGAACTACTGCTATAAAGAACTACGGTATTATAACGAACTACAATTAGTGGTCCCTTTAAGCCCGTAATAACTGTGAAGCTGAAGTGTACAAGTGAAAGATAACATTCATGGATAACGCAAAATATATATGTGGTTTCATTTAAAAACTATTTTGCAACAAAATATTTCAAAATCAGGGAACATTATGAATGTTAATAACCGCGCTTCAGGTTTCAGCTGTTATATTGCATTTCTTTTCATTGATTGGCCCAAGTCATTAGAGGACGAATCACCATACTTCTCATGTGAAATCGGTATTTTCCCCTCAATGACATGGTGGTAAAGTAAGCGGCCATCCCTACCGTACCATACTTTGGAACTCTACTCTATCAAAGATCACTCACTTTTATTTTCAGTTGATATTTCTTTCTACGACTTTTCAGCAATTTCAGAACTAGGCAGAATGATATAGAAGACAAAAACTCGTAACAATACACATGATGTTACCAGCAGCAAGGACCAATACCTGCCATTTTAAAAGTGCCTGTAAGCGGTGGGGGTAGCCTAATTGTTACAAGCGTCCGCTCGTCACGCTGAAGATCCGCCTTCGATTCCCGCCACAGCACAATGTGTGACGTTCATCTGGTGTCACCGGGGCGTTGGGGTAGTCTAGTGGTTAAAGCGTTCGCTCGTCACTCCGAAGACCCGGGTTCGATTCCCCACATGGGCATACTCAGTGAAGTCCATTTCTGGAGTCCCCCGCTGTGATATTATTGCTGGAATAATTGCTAAGAGAGTGGCGAAAACTTGAATGCGCTCTCACTCTGGTGTCACCCGCGATATTGCTGGAATACTGCTAAAATCGGCGTAAAATGATGATAGACAGACAGACATACAGATATAGTTTATAGGGGTGGGTATTGCAGAGAAGTTTCATGATTCCGATATATTATGATGCGGGAAGCATATATTGCGATATGTACGAATATATTGCATGATTATTTTTAAATAAAGGACTACTTATGAATGGAGTTAATTAACACAGGTTATAAGAGCAAAAATACGAAATCACTATGATTGACGCTTTTATAAAAAGCATCGACCAAAATAATAATGTAAGTAACATTTGTACCTAATAGAACAGGCAGAAGGAACAATTACAAAAAACGGGAATATCCGGAATTTTCGGAGTGTTACAGAGGATTTTCGAATGCATGTCAAATACCGGTTTTTCGATCAGTGTATCGCAATACGTATCGTTTTCAATAATACAAGACCGGTAGTAAATATCGGTAAACCGGTTATATTGGGCAGCCTAATAGTTTTTAAAGTGTCACGATTACATGGAAGCACGACTTCACAATAGACGCAGTAAAATATCGCTTACCCAGCCAACAAGGCTTATCAGACACTATACACAATACATGAAAACGCGAATGTTTCGCAAAGTGATATTATGAGATAGTAGTTTCAAATGTCGGATGTGTTTGTACAGGAATAGGGTTAGATTATGGCAATATTGTTACAGTGGTTGATAAAATTAACCTGTCGAGGACGTGTAAAATACTTACCAAAGAGGAAATACGAAGATGAAAGGTACCCACGAGTTCATTTTGTCTCCATCGGTTGTTTCCTGTAACGGCTTTTGACAGTATTATTTTAACATACATTGAATCAAATCCGGTTGCCAGTCGAATTGCCCCGCTACAAAATGACCAACAAATTTCAAATTGCCCCAGTGGGGTGATCAAAATGCCCCAACTATTTAAAATTACTAAATATAGGCCATAAATGCATAGTTTTGTCAACTTTGATTATTATGTTTATTCATATATAAGTGATATACATAGTTATGAGTTTTAATGAAACATTTATCAGAATATTGCTTCCTAATAACTTTATGTGAAGAGACATAATGTATCGAGATTGACAAAACTATCATTACTGTTTATACTCAGTCATTATAAATACATTTTGAAAGACAAATTGGAATGAATGACCAGGTTGCTGGGGCGAGTTTGGTGGGGCAGTTCGAGCTGGTACGCGTGAGATAGTGATCCAAAATCAGTAAGGGTTCTAATGAGCTTGAAAATGATGTTCGCTATAGCGTTCTTTTCGGTTTGGAGCCTAGAGTGCTGCAGACCGCTCCAGAAACGTTGCCGAATGCAACGGCAAATCATGAAGTACTTGTTGCTTTCATTGTTTCCATTTGTCCAATTACGCGCACGTCGGCATCAGACTCGCTGTTGTCAGTAGTGTGTTGCCCGTGAAAGTTGTTCTGTATTCTCATTGGCTGACACGATGTCATTCACAAGATGACCGAGTGCCATAACTATTTCCTGTAACCAAATCAATGGGGAGACATACGTTGTCCTGACTGAATTATTTTTACAATTCACCAGTTTTCGAGGGAATAGCATCTGCGTCATGAATATTATCTCTCTGCTCGACGGGCTGGGATCTTGTATCGAGACTTGATACGTTATTAATGTCAACTAGGATCTAATGTTTTCAGCAAAATAATTCAGTGTAATTTTTGAAGCGAGATGAATTTATATTTTTCCCTCGTCTGGAGCGGTTTTATTATTTCGTTTTTAAATCCCCAGACATACCCTACAGTCACCCATTTGACTTCACAAAATGAACTGTAATCACATTTTAAAAAAATAATTCTTATATATAGTGATATATTTATAGGGGTGAGTTTGCTGGCTGGAACTGTATGACATTTTGCTGACAAATAGTAATCTTGTTAAATGATATGATCTAGCTATTTTTAAATGTATTTTTGACCTCAAACGGTGCCTCCGTTTCGCTTGATTCCTCTTTTCATCTTGGAAGGTGTCTTGCAAGATGTAAAATCAGTTCGTATTGATGCAGTCTAACATCCATTTCAGAAATTACATCAGGAACATCTTTACTACTTCAGAATCACGGACTACTGTTAAGTTGTGAGGTAAAATCAAAGAGGAAGCCATCGACAACAGGCACTTATATGACGTCATGTCGTGATACCCTGCTCATTAACTGTCGGGTGTTTCCCGTAAGAGGCGGAAATACGAGGATACGTTTTGTTGTTGCGCTGTGCTTTACAGACTTTTGTTCCAATTTTAATCACGGAATGTGACTTTTTAGAATGCTCCTTTGCAATATATCAAAGTTTTTACGTTACTCGTTCGTATTCTCCTTTAATAAATGCACGTTGTTATCATAATTATCCATTTTATAAAATGATATCTAAAGATCCGCACATAAAAATAGCAATTCAAAAGAAAATGTATCTCGTTAGGCATAAATCCATCTCACATTCATGCACCAAATGCCACGTATACAGCAGTCCAAGACTCTCCGGTCGGCCCGATCGTTGGTCGGGACATCAAGTTCATCTAACACACGGGAGGAGGACCCCAACATTTCATCAACAGACTCACAAACCCAACCAGAGCCGCCTCTCCTCTAAGGTTGTGTTTTATGGGACTGATTTGCGACTTCCTGGGTGCAGCGATGGAGTTAAGGAGAAACAACTAGTTTACCAATTTGCAGGCAGGACTGGGGCATTGAATAAACTCATGCAATTAGTGGTGCACTTCCAAAGTTAAGGAGTTCGCTGTGCTGACACTGCCGATATGGAAGTGTTTTAATATGGTGTTTTGTTTGTTTGTTGCGTTTTGTTTTAGAATATTAGGATCTTTAGTCATTTGACGATCATAATGTTTTGGAATATTGCAGCACGCTTCGATTAGATACACATTGTGATTCAAAGGCCAAAACGTTCGATTCCCTACATTAGGTGCGGCACTATGTGTAGGGG